ATCGGCAAATGATTATGACAAGTGCAACTTGGCCAGATGCCATTCGTCGACTTTCACAAACTTATTTGAAAGAGCCTATGATCGTTTATGTTGGTACTCTGGATCTAGTTGCTGTAAATACAGTGAAGCAAAATATAATTGTTACCACAGAAAGAGAAAAACGATCTCTTATCAAAGAATTCCTACACAGCCTGTCACCGAAAGACAAAGTCATCGTGTTTGTCAGTAGAAAAATTGTTGCTGATGACTTATCCAGCGATTTAAGTGTCCAAGGCCTATCTGTACAATCCTTGCATGGAAACAGAGAACAGAGTGACCGTGAGCAGGCATTAGATGACTTTAGAAGTGGAAATGTGAAAATACTGATTTCTACTGACTTAGCATCCCGAGGTCTTGATGTTGATGATATCACACATGTGTATAATTACGATTTCCCAAGAAACATTGAAGAATATGTACACAGAGTAGGGCGCACTGGAAGAGCAGGGAAGACTGGCACGTCCATTACCCTTATGACTAAAAATGATTGGAAGACTGCCCCTGAATTGATTAAAATTCTGGAAAGATCAAATCAAAGTATCCCAGAAGCTCTTGTAACAATGGCCAAAAAATACAAGTTAGGTGAACAAAATAGAGACACAGGAAACAAATCAAAACTATTTCAACAAAAACCCAAGGAGTTTCATTAAGATCTGCAGTGAAAAGAAGTTGTGCCAGACTACCAGAAGATTCAAGATAAGTTAAAGATATGCAGTGTTCAAGATACTTACTGAAAAGCATTGGAAACATACTGATAGTTTGAAGACAACTGATTATTTAATAATACCACTAAGCTTTCAATATTGTGTGTAAACTCCTTAATAAAGTCAAGTGTTTTGAAAATGACAGAGTGAGAGATTCTGTGGGGGGGGGAAATAGATATTATGTGTTGGTTAAAGTTTAGATTCTATTATAGCCTGCCATGTCCATCTGTGTCTTCTCTAAAAGACTTGGTAGTAGACAACAATGGCACTTTTCTTAAACATAGTTTTTATCAAGCTTATCCCAGTCACTATATTCCACTTTCACCCAGTGATCGGTGCCACAATAATCCCTAAAAATATCTCCAATGTACTTACCTAATTATTTTAATTCATAAGAAAACTAGAGGCCCAATGCACAAATTTGTGAATGGGTGGGGTCTGGCCAGCCCGCCCCAATCGGGACCATCAAGCCGGGTGGCCGGGTGGTGGGGGACGTGGGAGGTTGGCCAGCTGGTTTGCCCCTGATTGGGGGGGGGCAATTGGGGATGGGGCCAACTGGGGGGAGGGGCCACAGGTGGTTGGCTGGTCGGCCCCGCCCCTGATTGGGGTGGGGGGGGCCAATCAGGTGCAGGGCCAGCTAAGTGGCGGAGCCATGGGTTGTTGGCTGGCTGGCCCTACCCCCTGGTCCAACTACTGGTCAAACTCCCAGTCAAGGGGACAATTTGCATATTAGCCTTTTATTATATAGGAGGATATGTATATCCCAGGTTAATTGCTCTTCTTTCCCAACATTATCAAACTAAGGTATTTAAGAGCCATTGGTTTTTACACAGTCATGCCTATATAAGTGAAAACAGACAGACATACCTGATCAAATCTAGTAGCAAAGAGATTGAGTGAGGTCACTATGCCACCATTGGGTCCAAGTCCATATCTAGACACTAAGTTGAGGATTTAAATTGTTTATAGATGAAATCAGATGATAAAGTTCACACCCAGGACATCACTCACACAAACATTATAATATTAGTGGTCCATTAATGAATATTGGCAAGCTAATCCTTGACTTAGTATGTACCACACAGCTATAACTTCATAGGAAACATTCATCAAGGTCTTCTTCATTTATTTGTTTTAAGGAGGGCCAGGCAAAATGAACAAACTAAAGGGACCAAAACATAATAGACAGATGCATCAGGCAGTGACAGCCTGCTAGCATTAGCTATTACGATCATCTATATAACACTCCTTGCTCTGATCCTCACTGATCAAGCAACTTGCTGATTATAATTAGATTTCCTACCTAGACTTACCTAGAGGGAAAGTACACATTTCACACAGCAATGTACCAAGAGGTGATCCTACTCATTTCTGGGTTTCCCAGTTTGAAGAGGTGATGACCAATGGATGTAGCTTCCAAGGCAATGCTACTTTCTGGGTCCTAGGCACGCTACCAGCTAGCCTCTCATTATCTACGCCCTCTAATTACAACAGCCTGCCGTCTGGGAATTTGGTAAAAAAACTAAAATTGCAAGCCCAAAGAATATTTCTAATCACCTACAATACTTTTTCCCCAAAGATTGCGTAGCTTAAGCATGATTGCTCGTAGTTAAAGTCATTAATTACCTGCCTGGCACTAAGTTAAGAGGTTTTATTCCCTCCCTAACTTCAGGGGAAAATCCCTACCTGGGGAAACAACCTTTCTCAGAGAGGTGACCTTGGTTAAAACACATAGTGCCAAGAAGTTGAGCAGACATATTAAGAACAGTATGCCATATATGCCAGGTCCCTTGAAACAGCAAGGATGGACCAGCTCCCAGCACCAAATTCTATTTTTTTCCCAATAGATGTGACTAACAGAACAGGGTGCCTGACTCAGTGCAAATCATATTTTCATACAAATTTTGTTACCAACCATTGGTAAAAATGGTCTTGACTTTGGAGCTCTCACTTTCTTCACTAGTAAATTCAGGTGGTTATATTAAATAATGTTGGGGTCCCTTTCACCTCTAAATTCTTTGATATTATAATCAAAATTACATACCCCTGCCTTATATTAACACTTTCTTTTCTAATCTATGGAAGAGCACATTCCTGTGTAACAAACTGAACAGTGAACCCCCTTTTAATAACCAGAATAGTGCATTCTGCTTTTTTTTTATTAGCAGGCTTCATTCCCTTTATTTTTCTTGTATAAAATTATGTGGTGCCAGGAGGAGGGAAAATGGCGGAGGTATAAATGGAC